AACATGGACTAAACCATCAATGACTTTTGTCTGTAGATGAGCTGGTTCAAGGGCTGGAAGATCGAGCGCAAGGACGGCAATGCCTCTGGAACCACCCTGCTGGAGGCTCTGGATGCCATCCTGCCACCTTCCCGCCCCACTGACAAGCCCCTCCGTCTGCCCCTGCAGGACGTCTACAAGATTGGCGGTGAGAACTGTCATAGTACTACAAGGCTAGTATTGCGCTACACCCATGTTTTTCGGTGCTTTAACAATGTTTTAATTTCTCAGGTATTGGAACTGTACCCGTCGGCCGTGTTGAAACTGGTATCATCAAGCCCGGCACCGTCGTCACCTTCGCCCCTGTCAACCTGACCACTGAGGTGAAGTCCGTGGAGATGCACCACGAGTCTCTGCCCGAGGCCGTGCCCGGTGACAACGTTGGCTTCAACGTCAAGAACGTCTCCGTCAAGGAAATCCGTCGTGGATACGTTGCTGGCGACAGCAAGAACGACCCACCCAAGGGTGCTGAGAGCTTCAACGCTCAGGTTGGTGTGGCGATAATGGTGCTGAGCGTCTTCAGGGTTGGGTTGTATTATGGAATTTGCTAACTTTTAGCGTGTCCACAGGTCATCATCCTGAACCACCCCGGTCAGATCGCTGCAGGCTATGCCCCTGTGCTGGATTGCCACACTGCCCACATTGCTTGCAAGTTCAGCGAGCTGGTTGAGAAGATCGACCGTCGTTCTGGCAAGAAGCTTGAGGACAGCCCCAAGTTCGTCAAGTCCGGAGATGCCGCCATTGTCAAACTGATCCCACAGAAGCCCATGGTTGTGGAGTCCTTCTCCAACTACCCTCCCCTCGGTAAGTTTTCTTCCCAGAAGCCCTACTTGATTTGACTAGGCATAATGTACAGCAGCTAACCCCACCTTTCCCCTGCTCCTATTTCAGGTCGTTTCGCCGTGCGTGACATGAGGCAGACAGTGGCTGTCGGTGTCATCAAGTCTGTTATCCCCAAGGAAGTGTCTGGAAAGACAACCAAGGCTGCAGAGAAGGCTCAGAAGGGCAAGAAATGAATGGCCGTTCAGGGAATCCATCAACAAGACGTGTGCTGGCAGCAGCGGGCAACATCTTCCCTTACATCTTCCTCCCACCCTGGATCATCCTCGCTGAGGCACAGCTCTATACTCAAGGACTGGCTTATGCTGATTAAAACCCATCGCAAGAGTTTTCGCAGGAAAAAGAACTCTATGGCATTGTCACTTACCTGAATCACATGACAGTGCCTCTTCTCAGTTGAGTTTAAGTTGGAAATGATTTAGAACTGTATCTCAATGTTAAAATGCCACATTTGATTGGAAAGAAGCTGCTGGTAACTAATAAAATATTGTCTCCGAAAAAATTGAAATTGGCTTGTCTGTATCCTTCACAGTTGCAGCTGGTATGACAGGCGAGCCTCTGTCATGTGCTGCAGCTGTTTTTTATCCATGCTATTTGTGTCCAGTGATGCACTTGTCATCCAATCGCCTCCATAGGAGATATGCCACCCCAGCCAATAGCACCCCTTATTTTAGTCTGACACACAGCAAGAGCAATGCACATCCCTCCCTCTCCTCTAGTTCGGTATATAAACACCGGAGAGATCACGCTCTGTCCTTTTTTTGCCTCTGCTCGAAATCTCTGGACGTCTTGGTAGTTGCTGGACACAGGTTGGTGAATTTAATTTAAAATGCAGCTGTTGGAGCTAAATTTATAGCATTGATGCATTTCCACAAAAGCTGGGGTAGTAGAGGGCTTAAATCCTTTAAATCATCAACTGATGGCTAGAGCCAGAAACCTTAGTAATCCATTCAGTGAAACGTAGCATTAAGAATTCTCATTGAAAGGTTTAAAACGTGCCAGCTCACCTTATTTGCTTCTCCTGGCTCGTTTTAGCCTGTCTGGCTCACTTGTAAGGGTCCACATCAGGAT